ATCTTGCTCATATTCCATTTCTACGGGCTGGCCCTCTGGGATAAAGCACCTCAGGGCTCCCTCTGCCCACTTACTCCTCCTATTATACCTGAGCTCCTCAGGCAGAGCTGCACAGGAGCCCGAAGTCCCTGAGTGTCACAATCTATTGACCATAAGCAACAGAATAGCATAGAATGCTACCGCTCATTTAGGGGGCCACAGACTCCATCCCTGACTCTGAGGCATGTACTAGGACTCCCGTCTTCTAGGGTCTGAGCAGTGGCTGGAGGGCAGTGGGATGGAGTAAGCCAAGCAGCATGGAGGCCTGGTGTTGGCCTGGACCTGCCATTCCTGTGCCATGAACTTTATGCCACTGCTTTTCCTCTCTGTGAGCATGGCTCCTCTCTTTCCAGTTCCTCCTTCTCTCCCTCTTCATACTAGTGGGCAGTGAGAACCCATAGTAAAGGTTCTTATACAATCTCCTCAGCAAAGGTTCTTTGAAAGACAGATATTTTAGAAATTCCAGGTAATCTGGGGTTCTTCAGGAGCAGATTTTGGACAGAATATATAACAGAACACGGAAAAGCTTGTTAAGTTTATTTCAGAGACCACAACAGAAATTGCAGCCAAGTTTTCTTAGGGGAAATCACCTGGGTGTGGTGGACACACAGGGTTTCCATTATGCTGCTCTTAGGGTTTTAACCGTATAAAACCTGTTCGCTCTGATGGGGATTACAGCATCATTATCAGGGCAGATGCCTAATTCCCGAACAATATCAACGACGGCTGCAATTGATGCATTTGCTGAAAAAGATGGGGACAGAGATCATCTTTCAGACACCCCAGCCATGTCCTGTCTTTTCTACTCATATCAGGCTTCTGCACCCTGGGGTTCAGTTTCCCCAAATCCTTTACAAATTTGTCTCCCATATCAACTTGGTGTACACAATGTCTCTGCGTTAGAATCTGGGTACCTTCCCCATCTCTTCTCCCCATGCTCTTTCCTCCCTCCCTTCTGTCCTTCTGCCCTGAGGTCCTGGTCCTGCTCAATTCTGCAGCCCTGTTTCTGTTTATAGTTTCTCCTCCCTGGTGGCTGTTGGGTAGCTCCTTCCTTGGATAACTTCTGTACTTACAGCTGGTCTTAAAGTCCCAGAAGAAGTGTCTTGGATTCTCTTCACAGAGGCAGGCAGTATACTTAAAATTAAATCCACTTTCTATATGTACGTTGCTATTGAGGTAAGCTTTCACCTGGTGAGGAGAAGGTGGGAGGAGGAACTGACTGTTATTCTGGGGAATGGGTAAGGGAGGGAAAAATAAGAGAGGAAGAAGCCGAAGGAGAAGAGTAGGGGTAAAGGTGGGACCAGGGCAAGGAGGAGTCTACTGTTGTAGTATCATTTCAGGAGCCAAAGTCTAGGTCAGAAGGTTTTCCCTCCCCACACTCTCAAACTCCTGCCTTAGCAGTATGGAGAGGCTCAGGAGGAACTAGAGGTGCACATGAATCCACAGGGCAAGGAGAACTCCTCCGGTGCAGCTGTCCATCTGGGGAACAGGCTTGCCGTAGTCACCAGCCAGAGCTTTCAGGAATCAACCTGCAGTCACACTTACTCTGAGACCTGGTGAGACAGCAGCCTGGCCACTTAGTTGTAGGAGCTGACGTCAGGCCTTGTTGTCAGAGCTGTGACCAAGCCCCAGTTGTGCTTCTCTCTGACTTGGTAACCTTTGGTGATTAGAATTAGACCTCTCACTCTCATTTTCCTCAGTTGTGAGATGGAAACAATTAACTACCAAGCCTGGATGTTAGATAAGCCAGTGGCATCTTGAATGTAAATTTCTTTTTAACTTGAGTGCTTTGCAGTTCAAGATCCCAGGTGATTGTATATGTAAATTTCAGTGGATTCAGAAGATTTTGTCCAGTTAGCATTATCACAGCAGTTTTATCCTGAGGGTCCGTGGACCCACAGGGATCTGTGGATAGCATTCAGTGAGTCTGTGAACTCAGGCAGGAGGGAAAAAAATGCATCTTTATCTTACTAACCTCTAATTGAAATTCAGCATCACTTCAGTAATGAATGTCATCAAGGAACCACATTGCCCTTAGCAGTATGTATGATTTTATCACAAGGAGAAACACACATATGTACATATCATTTTACAGATTCAGATGTCCAAAATATCACCCACATACACGACCTTGAATGTATGCTAATTATCAGACTGGCTTTATGGTCCTGAATGAGGCCCAGTGCTGGTCTGCCCATCCCCTGCAACTTGCTCAAATACCTGGCAACTCTGCACCAAATAGCCTTTCAGCCCCAAACAGTAAATTCAGGTGTTCTCATCCTTGGAGTTTTACTCAGAATGTCTTGGAGAAGCCTGGTATTTCTTTAGAGAAGCCTACCCATGCCTTGTCTTTTTTTCTTTTTTTTTGAGACAGAGTCTTACTCTGTTGCCAGGCTGGAGTGCAATGGCACAATCTTGGCTCACTGCAACCTCTGCCTCCCAGGTTCAAGCAATTCTTCTGCCTCAGCCTCCCAGGTAGCTGGGATTATAGGCACCTGCCACCACGCCTGGCTAATTTTTGTATTAGTAGAGATGGGGTTTCTCCACGTTGGCCAAGCTGGTCTTGAACGCCTCACCTCAGGTTATCTGCCTGCCTTGGCTTCCCAAAGTGCTGGGATTACAGGCATGAGCCACTGCGCCCAGCCTTGTTTACTTTTTTATTACATCCGCAGCAACATATCTTCATGAATCAGAATTTACACCACTTGTATAACAAAAGATCAGGATCTATTGCATGCCCAGAGTGGCACATGGGACGTGTTGCCAAAGACCAGTACAGTTCAATGTACTTTTTTGAGCTAAGCAACACCATCCATCACACGGATAATATCTTTATAAAATAAAATTTAATTCCTCTATATTTTAAATGTATTGCTTTTCTAGCTAATGTGTGAATAAACATGTTACTGCATCACAAATTTATTTTTAATAAGTTTGTCACTGTTACTCAATGTGGTAGTTTCTCCCTGTAATCCAATGCCCTTTATACATTTAGAAGCAATTTTCTGATAAATGTTTCATAGACTTCATGAAATCAACAAAATGGCTCGTGGCACCAAAATGTTTAAGCATTGTAGTTTGCCACAAGTTTTTTTAAGCTTTAAAGGATTATACAGTCTTTATATTCAAATACACGATTGTAGGCATATTCTATTCTAATTCTAAAATAAATAAATATGAGCCTAAACCTCACTTTTGCAAAAATTCAGTCACAGAAAATATTATAAATGATAGAAAATGAGGATTAGGTGGTACAAATTTTATAGTTCCATAAATATATTTCAATAAAAATTTAAAAATAGCTATACTTTCAAAAATTGAAGCCACAAATAAAAATTTGTTGACTAGAACTAACAAAATTTCCTTTCCCATAAATTCTTTCTGGTTAGCAAAATCAGTTAATCTGAGGATTTCTCATCCTTTTAGTTGTGCTTAGGTAGGTTTTAAAAAGATTGCTTTATTTTAGTGTACTAGCATGATTCTTAAAAGCATACTTTTATTAATCACAAAGGCACAAAATTATATCATGTCATTTTATTGATTCAAACATATCTTATTATACCTACCACTACCATTAACTACTACCACTAGAAACCACCATTTTCACAAAAGTTTTATGTACACATTATGTACATATTCTTATTCTCATTTTCACCTGTGCTTGTGATAAACAAAATACAAAGTTGAAAAATTATGACTCAGCCTCACTCCTACCCCAGATGAATGTACATGCTTCAGATTCTTGGACTGAAAATAGAAAATTTGACAAAGCAGCTGTGATATTCTTTGCTCATTGACCAGGAATTTTTCTCTACAGGTGTGGAGATGTTTCTAGAATGCAGTTTACTGAATAGCAATCTTCATGCTCTCAATTTTGTTTTCCATGCAGTCATTGTCCTTAAGTCTCATTTGAATTAGGCATCTTATCCTGTAAGGAAATACTTGTGCTGCCTGATAGAGGAGGCTTCTCAGGAAGGGTTTGGGGACAGAGTAGGAGAGATGGGGATTACATGGGTCTTGGCCCTAGAACAAAGGTAGTGGCGGCAGTTCGTATGCTTGTGACACCTGAGATCATTGACTAGGAGAAGGACACACAATCAGTGTCCCAAGGAAGAGTCACTGTGGATTAATAACTGCATAAATCTTGTCCTCAGCAGCTAGACAGGAGGAAAATGCTGTAGTCCCAAGTGGCTCAAAATATGGTCTTTTGGGCACAGCCTTGGTGTACCTTGGGCATCTGTTAAAACCTAGAAGCTTTAACCGCTCCCCAGACCCGCTGAAGGTCACTCTGCATTTTAACAAGATCCCTGGGTGAGTTTTAGGTACATTGCCATTGGAAAACCTCTGACCTAGTTCAGAAATTGGAGTTCCCTCACAACTGCTGAAAAGGAGATGAGTACGAGCTCCTTGTCAGGGCAGAGAGGCTGGAACAAGAGTCAACTTCTGGTGACCCAGAGCAAAGGAGCACAAGAAGGCAAGAAGCCAGAAGACTAGCTCAGTGCTTACTGGAGAGGAGAAATCATATCCTGCATGTCCTCTTCTGCCCACCCACCTCAACCTGTGGTGTGGACTTGCAGCTTTCTCTTCTGAGAACTCCCCTCCCTCCATCCTAAAGTAAACATGCTCAGGACCTTGGAAGAACTCTAACTGGTTCTCCACTACCTCTTAGACTTTTTTCTTTTTTCCCTCTTTCTCACTTCCTATTCCTTCTTCTTTTCTTTCTTGTTAGAATTTCTTCATCTGGAAAATGAGAAGTCATCTGTCCCAAGCTCCCACAGTTGTTCTGAGTCTTGAGTAGCATAACATAAATGACAATGTTTTATTACGTATACTGTACATTATTAAAGTGAGAGATTAATTAAGTTGTATTTGTAATCAAAGAGTTGAATTATTTTTTGAAGTCATGCCCCCAGTCCTCTACTTACCACCATGCATTCTTTCAATTCTGTTTTAACTGAAAGGTCTGCAGTGACCTCCTGCTTTTCATCTTCTGCCCTGGAAAGCTGAAAATCCATTATCATGATCCTCGGACTGGTTCTAGGAAGAGAGAATCAGGACACCAAGATCAGAGACCAATCTGTGAGTGAATGTGGGAGCTATAAACAGGGCAAGGGGCACAGGATGGGAAAGGGAGGGAAATTATGGGGCTTGGATCAATTGTTCAGCATCAGAATCCTCTGGAATTTTTGTGTGTTGATTGGGTTGATTGCTTCGTACAAATTTAGTTTTGTTTAGTCACATAACTAGGACACTTTAAGATTCCTTAAAGAACTAAAAGCAGAACTACCATTTGATCCAGCAGTCCCACTACTGGGTATCTATCCAGAGGAAAATAAGTCATTTTTCAAAAAAGATAATTGCACTTGCATGTTTATAGCAGCACAGTTCACAGTTGCAAAGTCATGGAACCAACCTAAATCCCCATCAGTCAACGAGCATCTTCTTCCCTTCCATCGACCAAAAATGAATTTTTAAAAAGAAAAAAAGTACAATACCACATGTCGTTTCCTGATAGCATCCTATAGGTTCTGGTGATTGTCTGCTGACTAGGAGGGCTCAAGTCATTATTAGGAGAAAATTTTCTAGCAACAGAATCACATTAAACCAGCAAACATCTTGATCAGGGAAATGGAAATCAAAACCACAATGTGATACCACTTTCTTCCTGCAAGAATGGCCATAATCACAAAAATCAAAAAACAGTAGATGTTGGTGTGGATGCAGTGATGAGGGAACACTTCTACACTGCTGGTGGGAATGTAAACTAGTACAGCCACTGTGGAAAATAATGTGGAGATTCCTTAAAGAACTAAAAGCAGAACTACCATTTGATCCAGCAATCCTACTACGGGGTATCTACCCAGAAGAAAATAAGTCATTATTCAGAAAAGATACTTGCACATATATGTTTATAGCAGCACAATTCACAATTGCAAAATTGTGGAACCAATCAAAATGCCCATCAATCAACGAGTGGATAAAGAAACTGTGGGGTGTGTGTGTGTGTGTGTGTGTGTGTATATATATATATATATATATATATATGGTGTCTGTGTATATATATATATAATATATATATATAAACACACACACACCTCAGTGTTTATATATACATATATACATATGTATATATATATGATGGACTGCTACTCAGCCATAATAAGGAGTGAATTAACAGCATTTGCAGTGACCTGGATGAGATTAGAGGCTATTATTCTAAGTGATGTAACTCAGTAATGGAAAACCAAACATATGTTCTCACCGATATGTGGGAGCTAAGCTATGAGGGTGCAAAGGTATAAGAATGATACAAAGGGCCTTTGGGACGTGAGGGGAAGAGTGGGAGGGGGTGAAGGATAAAAGATTACAAATATGGTGCAATATACACTGCATCATATTTGTAGTCTTTTACCTCAGGTGATAGGTGCACCAAAATCTCACAAAATCACTGCTAAAGAACTTACTCATGTAACCAAATACCACCTGTACCCCAATAACTATGGAAAATTAAAATAAAACAATGAAAAAATTTAGAAACCCAGCAAACATCTCCATGCACTACAGGTATTTGTAGGAGCATCTTTGAAGATCCCCCTTCTTTGGTTCTTAGGTAGGGCTCAGGAATTTGTATTTATTTAGCTCCTTAGGAAATTTGGACATATGGCCATGTTTGGGGACTTTAGATACCACTCTACATTTAGACCATACACCACAATCTGAAAGGGAAAGGAAATGGAGGCAAAGAAAATACTCAAATATTCTTCTTCTGTCAATGAGGACTGGGTTCTGGGCCAGGAGAGTTACTTTCTCTTTCCTAGAAACTCCTGGCTACAGACCTTTGTTACTGTGTGGGACAGAAGACCCCACAGTGTCTCACAACCCCATATTCTTGGGGCAAAGCATCTTAGATTTCAGAGAGATTACATTTTTTGTGCCAATTGCTCTAATGCCCAGGGCACAGAAAAAGGGTATAAATACCTAAGCATCTTCAAAATCTCTCCCATTTGTAAATGAGTTTTGGATAAATAAGATAGGATGACCAGCTTAGCTCAAGTGACTAACCATCTCAGTTTACCCAGGACTGAAGTCTTTTCTGGAATGGGCCACAGAGATGGTGGGGGACTTTCAATGCTACCACCAGAAAATTCCTGGGCAAATCATGATGGTTGATAACACTAATTAGCATAGCTTATTTGAATACCTTGCTGCCGTTCAGGGCTAAGTGGACTCATCTGAGAGGTTGGGGGGGTGCGGGATCTGAACCTGTCCCCACGCAGGGTTTTATGGGACACTTGCCTCCATTATACCAGCTTGTCTAAGAGGACCCTGACAGTTTCCTCTGGGACAGGATATCTGGCCATGCCATAGATAGTACCTCCAAGATCACAACCCAGAAACCCATCATTATAAACCCTACCGCTATAGAGAAAACTCCCTAGATTGAGTATCCCTGCTTTTCCCCAGACCTCTGACTCCATTTTCTACTTTATTTTACTTGCTCCAATTTTTCTGCTCCCTTCAAACATGTGTTCTCAATAAGTTGACTTCTGAACCTGTGCTGTCAGGTCCCAGTACATGTGAGAGCAGGAGGTCCTCATATTCATCTTCAGACTTCAGGTTAGGAAGAACGTCTAAACTGCCAGGCTAGCTCAATCTCAGACCACAGAGCAGTGACCAGGGCCTCTTATTCTTTGACAGGTCCTGCCAAAGCTGCCCTAAGCTGCCATGGGAACTCAGACCTGTTATGCTTCTCTTCTAGGAGGCAAGGTGTGAGAAAGTCAAGTTTACTGATCAGCAATCTGAACAAAGGTATAAATTACGAAAAAGATGTGGATCGGCGCGGGCATGTTAGATGAAGACTAATTACTAATGATAGCCTATAGGTACACTCGGAGCTTTATTTCCACTGGCAGTGCAGAGACACCCAGCAAAAATGTGAGAGAAGTTAGTGGGGCTTCCTAGAGGACAGAAGTGGAACCTGGCAGGAGGTCCATGGGAGCTCCCAGGACCAGAGTTCTGGGAAGTTGAAGGAAATTCTCAGAAAGAGTTATGTAGGGCCGGGCACGGTGGCTCACGCCTGTAATCCCAGCATTTTGGGAGGCCGAGGCAGGTGGATCACGAGGTCAAGAGATCGAGACCATCCTGGTCAACATGGTGAAACCCCGTCTCTACTAAAAATACAACAAAAATTAGCTGGGCACGGTGGTGCGTGCCTGTAATCCCAGCTACTCGGGAGGCTGAGGCAGGAGAATTGCCTGAACCCAGGAGGCGGAGGTTGCGGTGAGCCGAGATCGCGCCATTGCACTCCAGCCTGGGTGACAAGAGCGAAACTCCGTCTTAAAAAAAAAAAAAAAAAAATAGAAAGAGTTATGTAGATTTCCAGATTGGGAGAGGAGCCCTCCCTGCAAGCCTTTTTTTTTTTTTTTTTTTTTTGTGGGGAGGAGAAGGGTATGGCTCACGTGTTTTCCTGAGCTTTGTTGGACCCCAGCTGCAGGCAGAGAACCAGGAGCAGGGCGGCAGGGCTGGCCCTGAACAGGAGCTGGAACAAGCGCATGCTGGAGAAAACAGAAGGCAGTGTCTCGGAGAAGTGGTGTCCCAGGTGCTCATCACATTTCTTATATGCAGATTGATCAAGGAAGTGCAAGAGCTGCCAGGGAGATCCATGAGGTGAATCACCCACTCACCCTCCCCACTCGTGATCTTTCCTTGTTGACCCAAAGTTTGTTTTTCTAAGAAAAAAAAATCAACACTTAGCTAGAATGACAGCATTTGAGAGAGGAATGAAATTGTTCTTCCTTATTTTTTCAGTGTCAGAGTTTCTCAAAATGGCTGGGACCTCAAAAAATATACCAGTTTTTCCCAAGCTTACAGATTCAGTTTCTTTTCCCTCCTAATTTGCCTGTCTGAAGTGCTGTGTGTAGTCTTAGCTTCAGTCACTGCTCCCCTGGTCTCTGATGGCAGAGAACCCAGCTGTGGTGGCAGGTTTCAGACCACAGGCATAGAACATCTTTGCTTGATCTCCTTATAGTGAGCTCAAGAGGCAATGCTATTCAAAGCATTACTTGGAGGGCTAGGATGATCAGGACTTCTCTAGCAGTCACTACCAATCACCAGGTGGACGAGCTAGAGAAGACCTGAGCTGCTCTACGTGATGGGGAAGTGAGTTCAAGGCACTGAGTGACCTAAAGATGTTTATTATCGTTGAGTCCTTCTTAACTTCAGGTGTGGTGGCAATGTACCAAAGATGCCCAAGATCCCCAGTTGTCACACAGTCCCCGAGGCAGGGTGATATTTTAATTATAGACAATTCCTGTAAATAGCTGGCACCCCCAAATCAGACTTTTTGGCACCAAAGAGCTGGGTCATTTTCTTCTTGACATGGCCACTTTCTTACACTTGTCTCACAGCATAAGCCACATCAAAAGACCCACAATGGGAAGGACACCCTCTGTGAGAATGGAGCCCACATTATGTCCAGTAGATACCCAGACTGTAGAATTCCTCTCCTTGGGATGATGGGGAGACTTGCTTTTGCTGACACTGGCATTGTGCTGTTTCTCCTTATGAAATTGAATCTGTTCCTTAACCTAAGATGTGAAACACTATGGGATTTGTTTCTATCCTCTGCACGGCAGACCACTGCCCAGGAAGAGCCTCTCTGACAAGAGTGAAAATTAGAGTTCTAGGAGTTACCACCTCGTGTGTTGCTTTAGCCAGAATTCAGAGCTAAAGTCTGTGCTTGCTTCTGGTTTCTGGATGTGTCTCTTAAAATTGCTCTGCCTGTTATTCGGTTCCTGCATCTACTTTCTCTTTCTTTTCAACTGGACACCACATTATGTCATTGCTCACTTAAAACTTCAGCTGTTTTCATGATCACATGCTTTCTTCCCTGTTTATGTCCTATCCACTCAAGAACAATGCTGTGATCTGGGTCACAATGACCTTCCTTTGTAAGCCTCTTTCCACATTTAAATTGTCTACACCTGGTCCTTCTCACTTGAATAATTTCCACCTGAAGCATATACTAGCTAGACTAGCCAAGGCATAAGGCAGAAGAATCTAGGAAGTGTCTATGTGGGAAAAATGCAGGAAAAGTTCTTTGCTGGGCACTTTGAGGCCATAGCTCCATCCTTGAGGATGTAACTCCAGCACTCCCCAAAGGTGGTGTCCAGAGGAAGGCAGATGACAATGGGTTAAGAGCATCTATTGAAGGTAATGAGGCTGTTCTTCTGTGAGCGAGCAGAAAACTGTAATGCTTGGCTGGGCACAGTGGCTCACGCCTGTAATCCTAGCACTTTTGGAGGCCAAGGCGGGTGGATCACCTGAGGTCAGGAGTTCAAGACCAGCCGTCTGACCAACATGGAGAAACCCTGTCTTTACTAAAAATACAAAATTAACTGGGTGTGGTGGCACATGCCTGTAATCCTAGTTACTCAGAAGGCTGAGGCAGGAAAATCACTTCAACCCGGGAGGCGGAGGTTGCAGTGATCACCCCATTGCACTCTAGACTGGGCTACAAGAGTGAAACTCCATCTCAAAAAAAAAAAAAAGAAGAAGAAGAAAAAGAAACTGCAATACCTACAACCCTTCAATGTAAAGGACAATTTCTTTCCTTTTCTTTCTTTATTATTTGTTTATTTATTTATTTATTTTTGACAGAGTCTCACTCTATAGGCCAGGCTGGAGTGCAGTGGCATGAGCTCAGCTCCCGGCAACCTCCACCTCCCAGGTTCAGGAAATTCTCATGCTTCAGCCTCCCGAGTAGCAGGGATTAGAGGCAGGAGCCACCATGCCCAGCTGATTTTTGTATTTTTGGTAGAGATAGGGTTTTACCATGTTGGCCAGGCTGGTCTCACATTCTTGACCTCAGTGATCCTCCTGCCTCAGCCTCCCAAAGTGCTGGGATTACAGGTGTGAGCCCCTGTGCCTGGCCCAGGACAGGTCTTATTCAGGCCATGACTGCTGTAATGGTTACTTTTACATGCCAGCTTGGCTATGCATGGTGCCCAATTTTTGGAAAAACAACAGTTTAGATGTTGTGAAGTTTTTGTTTGTTCATTTTTTTGTTTTAAATGTGATTAACATTTAAATCAGTAAAGTTTGAGTAAAACAGATTACCTCCATAATATGGGTCAGACTCATTGAATCAGTTGAAAACCTTAAGAGAACAGCTTGAGGTCCCTTGAGGAAGAAGAAATTAGGGAGAAAAAGAAACCATAATTATTATGCCACAAAGAATGAACAAGTAGTAGGTTTAAGAAATCAAATAAAGGTTGATAAAATCAGGTTGTAAACAATCAGGAAACGTACAGAAGAGAATATGTAAAGGCTCAGAGTTCCCTCTGGGGTTAGGATTAAGGGTTAGGATTAAGTTGGAGCTTGCCACAGGGGAAGTTTGCAAAGAGGAAGATGATCTTAGTCCTGACAGGGCTCATGAGAAGAAGATAAGGAATAGAAAAAGAGAGGGAGTTATAGACACCAACACACATGAAGCATATACCGTGGTGCATTATATTGCTCTAAACATTTTAACATGTATTAGCTCAATCTTTATTACAACCCTGTGAAGGTGGTTGCCATTTTTATTCCATTTTACAAGAGGGGAAACAGAGACCCAGGAGATAAATATCTAGCCCAGACCATATAGCCAGTATCTGGCAGAATCAAGTTTGCATGCAGATTTTGTGGAATCTGAGTTTTGATTTACAGTATTGGAGAACCTCTTTGGGAAACAGAATCCAAACTTACAAATGTAAACTACAGGAACAGGACCTTGGAGGAGGCACCAATAAGTAGGAAGCCCTGAGGCTTCATGCTGTTACTTTAATGGTGAATACACCTTTGGATGGAGCCAGAATTTCCATGCTGGCAGTCTTGCCTTGAAGCATGATCCTTTAACCACTGCACTGCTTGCTGGTGAGATCCAGTTGCAAAGTTAGAAACTGGCAGAGTAAGGGGTTCAAATCAAGTAGTCTGATACCAGAGGCTATGTCCTTAAACGCTTGTCTATTCTATTTCTTGATGTAGCAAGAGTGTTAAGTTGAGAAAAGGAAACTCACAGAGGTTTTAATAAGTTGTTCAAGCCACAGAGCCAACAAATAAGAAAGGTATTGCAGTTTGGCTTGGCCATATGACTAAGCCAAACCATTGGAACTGAGATAGAAGGGAATCCGGAGTTGGCACTTAGAGCGATTACTCCATATTTCCTCTTACTTAATAAAAGCATAATTGGCACAAGACTTGTACAAGAGCATATAATGCATTCTGAAGATGTAATGAATTGTTTCTTAGAGGAGGTTATATCCAAGCAAAATCTCTTAGAGGTGAGAGAAGCTGGAGTGTGACTCTTTTCTTAGAAACTCTGTCATTTTTAGTGTCTTTTTTTTTTTTTTTTTTGAGATGAAGAATGAGCCATAAGGAATGAGCTACTGGGCAACTCTTGTTTTCCAGGCTGGAGTTTAGTGGCACAATCTCGCCTCACTGCAACCTCTGCCTCCTGGGTTCAAGTGATTCTCCTGTCTCAGCCTCCCAAGTAGCTGGGATTACAGGTGACTGCCACCAGGCCCAGCTAATTTTTGTATTTTTAGTAGAGACAGGGTTTCACCATGTTGGCTAGGCTGGTCATGAACTCCTGCCTGACCTCAGGTAATCCGCCCACCTCAGCCTCCCAAAGTGCTAGAATTACAGGTGTGAGCCACCGCGCCTGGCCTTTAATCATTCAGTATCATTTATAAGGTCACCCTGGTCATAATGTAGGGGCCAAAGGAAAACTTCTCTGCCTTCTGAAGTTTCACTGAAACTGACAAAAA